AACTTCTTAAATGAGTTCACAAGTCACAATATTCACTTTTTTAAAGAACAGTTTATGACATGATTTTAAGAAAACATTAACAATGTTTTTAAAGTCACGGTAGCAAGAAGACAGCTATAAAATCTGCAAAATCACCATAATAAGTTATAATTGAAATAAATCCTGAATCTGACTGCATTCTATGCACAATCTAATGACAACCCAGGATGGGAAAGAAGGGGAGGGAGACAGGAACATATAACCTAATAAAAGAATTATAGGAGCAATCACTTACACAATTTTTTAAAATAAAACCAGGTGCCTTAATAAACATTTAAAATATTAGTCCTGTCTTTTAACTGTAAATGGCATATAGGCACTAAATTAGCTCCTTAGAACCATTTAAAAAGTTCAGCTCTGTAATTTGTAAGTGAGCATAATCACCAACAGCTTATGTGGCAACAATTAATCCCATGCTTTGTACAGCACTCAGTCTTTACAGTAACAGGAGTACCTTCTGATACCTAAAGCACATGCCTGTTGTGAGTCATACCGAAATTCCACACATTCCAACTAGTCTCTTTCCCTCCAGCACATATGGTACTTTGTAGAAGGCAAGCATCCCAGATCAAGCAAACCCCAAAAATTGACAAGCTGGTACAAGCTTTGTCCAAACCTGCAATCATAAAATGCAACAGTTCATTCGAAAGAATGTTACCTCATCTTAAACAAGCCTACAGTGAGGAGAAACCAGAACTGTCATAGGCTTCTAACACAATGTTTTTCATGACCTCTGGACAAAGATAACTACAAATTCACCTGGGAAAATGGGTCAAGAGAGAGGGTCAATAAGCTAGTGGAGCAATTATCATAATTTCAAATTAAAATTAAATAGAAGGACAATTTTGATCGGAAGTGATCAAACTGCATAAGATTTGTATATTCATCATCTGTTTTTTCTCTTTTTTGTAACCACGTTCATCAGGGCCTTGCTCTAACCCTGCCCTAAGGCTTGGGAAAAGTTATCTTGGCATCTTAGTACAGGCGACTGAGAAAAATCAAGATACACTTAAGAGTTTCAGATGACTCTGTAATGACCTTTTTTTTTTGGCTTGTGTGGCAATGAATGAGTCAGTCACAGGTAATCTCTCATAGTTAAAGAAAGTTGAGGCCTTGATGAACATGGGTAAAAAAGGAGAAGGAATGTGAATTTTGGCTAGAAAATTCACTGTGAAGCACAAAGACAAATTAAATAACTACACTTTAAATGTTCCATTAAGCTTGATGTCTGAATAGAACCTAATAATTGTGTCAAAACATTTTACTAACACCTTACCACATAAGGTTTCCTTCCACTGAAGTGACAAGAAATTGTTTCCTATCTATCTGTTATGTTCCAATACTTCAGACATATCCTTAATTGCTTTTATTGCATTTTAATTTAGTGTAACTTAATAACAACTATTCAGTCCAGATGTTTTAAGGTCTTTACACCCATTTATCTAGGTGTACCTATCCTTGTAGGTACACACACCTACAAGGATAATGTGTAGCTGTGATAAGAGAGAAGAATATGAAGACGAGTCTGGGTCTGAAACAAAACAAAACCAACAAGAAAACCCCCAGAAACTGTCTCTTGCTGATCTTCAGTTCTCTAAGAGCAGAAAAAAAAAAAGAATCCGCTGTCCTAGCACATATGACAGCATGTGCATACAGGACTGCACACCCAGTTCTCCCATGGCATACATAATTCCATGATGCTTCACATGCCAAAGAAATTTCTATTTTAACTAAGCTATAGTTTATGTTCCAGAACCACAGCCTGAAGTAACAAATTCAGTACAAATCCATGTAATATTTTTCTACAAACATCTACAGATAAGCAAAGTCTTCTGTAAGCAAATGTTACACAAAGGGTTAACCTGTTAGAAGCGCTCAGCATAAGTAGTTAGTTCAGCTGTGAGTCAGCAATGCCTGTCTAGAACTGCAAACAGGAGACCCTTTGACACAGATAGGCAGCTTCCAGCAAGTCTCTTATTTACCATCTCCTCCCCTCCCACTGCAACTCAGCTTGAATCTTCCTCATACCTTGAATTTGGCAAGTTGTCACAGAAGCAGTTTCACTGCACAAGATATGCTTCTACAACCACTCTGGATTGCTCAAATGTTTAAGCAGATTGACATCTCAACTGACATATCATCATCTCTAAAGGATTTTTTTTAACATGTTTGAAGCGAAAGGCACAACACCACAGATACAACATATTTAAAAAAAGGAGCTTTAACAAGCTCAACAGCTTTCAACAGCTGTGCAACCTCTACCCCAAGATAACTGAAAAGTTCCCATTTGAGGGAACAAGTTTATTAATTCAAAATGCATCAGCTATGTTTCTCAACAGCTCACTAAGCCAAGTCTCCTTTTATGCTATGACAGTTTGCAGATAAGCATATTTCAACAGCGCTTTTCTGTCCCACAATACTTTAATGAATGTACACACAAACAACACATAACAACATACTGCAGTCTAGGAGAAAAGAGCATTGTATACCTCTGAAGATAAGAAACATTCAGGTAGTTTAGATCAGGGACTTTGGACTTTATGCCTTGTCTGAAAAGCTGCACCTCCAGCAGTAAAATTTCCACTATTGTGCTGAGTCCTGATAAAGAATCAGATCTGAAGAGACCCACCTAATGAGTCATTTCCGGGAATATCCTAATTTTCTTTGGCAAAAGGTGTGGGCAGAGGTGTTCCTTTTCAAATACTTTTTAAACCCAACTCTATTTTACCTGTTCCAGTCAAGCAGATTTGAAGCCCACAATGATACAGCTTCAAGGTCGAGTCCATAAAAATAACATTATTCTGATAGAGGACAACCATCTATTTCTGTAAAATATTCCCAAGATACAGATTTTTAAACCTATCCAACAACTGAGTCATATAAAGACTCTCATTTCTTTAACAGAATAGCCTTTCCTCTGACCATAACAAATGCTGTGGTGTCCTGCTTGTATCCATTCAAAGCGCTGCTACAAGTTTCATTTTCCTAAAAAGGTACTCTTATCCTTTCCCAACATTAGCATCCCTTTCCCTGTGGCATCAAGAATAAACTGCTTCTTCCCAATTCAGGACCCTTAATCATGCCTTATTCACTAAGAAAAGACAAAACCTGTGTCCAGTAAATTCACAATGTCACCTTCAGGTGGCCAGCTGTCAGGTTTTGGGAACAAAGGCTCATATGCTTTTCCCATGCTGCCTTCAAGCCCTCTACCACCTTCAAAACTACCTCAGTTAAATTTCATTTGAAATTTCTCCTTGCCTTCATAACTGTAAAATGCCCAAGTCTGCCACTAGTTGAGATGTGTTGAGATCACAGTCTATCATGCTGACTAATATTCCAATTTCTTCTCTTTTATTTACCACCACCACCTTTATCTCATACTCGGGAGGACTGCAAACATTAAGGATTAGAAGCTTTTTGTTCTGTTTTTGCAGTTTCTAACTTCTCCATTTTTAAGGCCTGTAAACATGACTGTAATCACATGATGGTATAATGTATATGAATGAGGAAACTTTTTATTCTCTTAAAAAACAATATTTGGGTTGAAGTTAATTAATTCTTCCAACAAGCAAAACATTGATACACTGTTCAGAGAGGGGCATGCTCAGTTTCTGGAAGTAAAGAACCAGGCACGTCACGTGAGGTATCCCTCCAATCCAAATTACTGTCCTATAGTTCACATATTCTAAATCACTTTACCATAAGCATTACGTTCTGGCTATAAAACCATTCCAAAGCTCCCCAGCATTTCCAATATGCTGTGCCATGCAACTTTATGTGATGCATATAACGCAACATATAATGCCAAACACTATAAGGCACCCAGGACTCAGCCATGCTCATATCTGTAGTATCTTGCAGATAAAGTTGATAGCAAGAATTTAGACTCTAGCAAGACCTTCATAATGCCAAGAGCCACCAACATATGCCCCAGAGAGTGGAGTAAAGGGAGATCACCAAGAGGAATTCACAAACAAAAGCCACCAGTGATCAAATGGTTTCATCAGTCAGTCACAGGATGGGGCTGAACGTGCAACGGCTTTCATGGCAGCCTGGTGATCCTGAGCTTCAGACGGTTCACATTCTTCCAAACCCAGGAATTTTGGTCACCAAGTGATCCTGTATTTTGCCACTTCACTGCCACTCACCAAACAGTCAGAGGGATTCATACCATAGTTGCCCATAAGCTACCCCACAGCTCAAGAAACATAGGCAGGTCATTCTCACTCTAGGATTAGAGGGCCTACTGAGATATTTCATTTTTAACTCTAGGTCTTGTTCCTCCTTCTAACAAGTCTGATAGAACTTTTCAGACATTTGCAGTGAGAAAGTTACTCACCCTTGGTAAGTGCAGACCAAGGTGGCAAAGAAAAATCTACAGATGGCTATAGTCTGAAGATGAGCTAATACTTCCTTTGACTGACTGTCTCAGCTTTGCACAACTTTTAGTCACCACAAAGCACATGGAAGTTGTTTCTGGTATTCACCTAAAACAATAATCATTTAACACTGGAGCTATCTGGAACTTCCATAGCCAGTAACATCAATCCTTCCCATCAAACAATGTAAATCAGTTTTGTCAACTCTAGATTATTAGTTCCTCATGCAAATAAAACATTGTAAGAAGTAATAAGCAGCAGCCCTGTCATCAGAACACATACCATGACAACACCACAGTACTTCCTTGGTGAGGACATACTACATGAGACATGAGTGCACTGTATCACTTACCATTCTTCCTTTCACTGAGTGGAGGAAGGTTGGGGTTTCGGCCATGATGGAGGTTGATGGTCAGCTCGGGCTGCAAGGAGAGCTCCTGCAGCTCATTGGCAACAGCTTCGCTCTGAGGGCTGGGCGCCGCCGAAAGTGACACCAGCACCGGCTCATCATCATTTTCGCCAGCCCCTCCTCCGTCCAGCCCATTTCCAGCAATGACGGAAGGGGGCAGGCACACCACACCGGAGAAATCCACTTTGGCTTTCGTGATGGCAACCTGCAAGACAAACCAAAAAAAAAAAAAAGTAAATCTCACATGAGAGTCTTAACCCACATGTCCAGTTCATCGTGGCGTCTCCATATTCTAGAGAAACATGTTCTTTAGCACAGTGTTTCATAGAATCATAGAATAGTTTGGGTTGGAAGGGACCTCTAAAGGTCGTCATCTAGTCCAACCCCCCTGCCGTGGGCAGAGACATCTTCAACTAAATCAGGTTGCTCAGAGCCCCGTCCAACCTGACCTTGAATGTTTCCAGGGATGGAGCATCCACCACCTCTCTGGGCAACCTGTTCCAGCTGGTGTTATCATCATCAATTCAAATCCAACTAGTGATCGAAACTTACTAGACCCGGCAGTTTATAAACTTGCATAAACCTCCAACAGCATCACCGCAGAAACTACTGATGAAACTACAGATTATTATCGTTTTCTTAAAAAGTATGAGAATATTCTCAACTTTTGGTACTTCAGGAACCCAATCCTGAGAAGACACAGATTGAGTTGTTCCACTGAATTCAGTTCTAGATAGGCTGACCTCTTGACTACTCTCCTTTTATACCAACAATGATGTTTTAACAGGACAACTGTCAATTTGAAATCCAGTCAGGTGAAGTAATCCTTCATAATAAACCTGGAAGGACAGCTGAGTACAACAAATGAGGATTTTCAAATAAAATCATTTGCATTTCAAAAAAGAATTCTCTTGCCCCATTCACTATCAGTGAAAATGAATGCAAGAAAAATATTCCACATAAAGTTAACAAAAAAGCTTTCCTGTGTAAAACCTCAGCTGCAGTAACTGAAATGTGCAATATATAAAGGGCTTTAATGAAATGAGCAATTTTTTATATGTTTCATTATATTTCCATAATTCTTTAAATAAGTATTTAAAAGCCACCACTCTGTTAAAATTCTTTTATGTTCAGTAATTTAGACAGAAACAAACCAGCTGGAAGTCTCCAGTGAAATGGTTACTGTGTCAACATTTAAGCAGTAACGGACATAATACAAGGGCAAACATATTTGGTTTTGATTAATGAAGATGGAAGTCTCCTGCTTCTTAGTATTCTGCTGTTTCAACCAGTCTAAACTCACAAGACTACCACTACATAACTCTGCTGCACTGTAGTCATTTACCAAACAAAAGGTATTTCCAGAGGCTAACCTTCAGCTTCAAAAAGATGCAGGTAAAGCAAGCTGCAAAGAAGCAAAGTAAAAACCATCAGGATAATCCTCTAGAAATCAATCAGAAAGCATAAACTTGGAACAACATTTTTAACAATACAGTTTTTTATTAAGTATTCCCCACTTAACACTCATAATTAACCTGAACGAGTGTGACAACATTCAACACATTAATAGCTGATAAAGTAGCTCAAATAGTCATCTTCCCCACTTCCATTTCAGTTTCGTACTTCAGTTGATTAGTAATGTTTGCTCTGTAATACCCAGAACAAAGTTATAAGTGATAGTACATTTGTTTCAAAAATTTGTTCAATGTATATTCAAGGCAACAATAAGAATTACTGGCAATGAATACATGCTGTTTCATCCATGCTGTCATACTTTCATTCCCAGGACCCTATGTCATGATCTGAAAAGAAGCAAGGAAAAGAAGGGTGGAGGAAAAAAAGAAAACAACAAAAACCACCAACCAAAGCTGGTGCTTGTTATAACAAAACAAATGAGACTGAGCCAAACCTTACTGCCATATGAGTATTTGCTTTTACTTCAGTTACAATTTGGCTAGAAAGTGCCTACCCCCTCCTTGACATATTTCCTGTACAAAGTGAACATCGCTCATATCCACTTGAGAGCAAATTGTAACGGTAATCTGCAAAGAGAAAACATTGGGATTGTGCCCTTCTTCTCTTTACAATGTATACAGAAAGCTTGGAAACACAGACCCTTAAACCACAGACTTAGAAGAATGATATAACAATCCTTGCAAAGGCTGGAAAGAGTTAAATCATGACCAATATAACTGGCCTCAGGCCCTGTCCCTGTAGCATGGGAGGCCTGTGAAAAGGGGCTAAAAGGAAGAGTAATTGCTCAGTTAGGAGGCTGGCTGGTAAGGACTGCTGTCACCCTTAGAGGAGCCAAAGCCAATGTGCTTTATCAAAGGAGATGTACTGGAGACATTACACTTTGCCTAGTACCACATGATGGTTAGGTCAGACCATGTGGGAGGACAAGTGCAGCCAGGCCTGAATCCACAAACAGGTGAGACACATAACTAACACCCACCCAGCAAGGATCTGGAATGGCAGAAGACTCAACCTTCCCCCCTCAATCCATCCTAGTAAAGAAAAAGAGTTCCTTCCTCTTCCCACAAGGGGAAAAAAAACTTGACGTGTCTCAGAAAGTCAGATCTGCTTCAACTAGGAAAACGGCAAACATACTTAGGAAATTCTGACATGCTGAATTTTCTTTTAAACAGGAGTTTGTAACCTGAAATCACATTTCAAACACCATTTTAACAACAGTGTTGTAAAACAGAATCTGTTTTCCTAATCTAGGTATGTTCACATTAGCCAGTCCACTGAAACTATATCCTTTATGTAAAAGCACAGTACCAAGCTACAGTAAAAGCAGTCTAGCCTAGACAGCCACAACATAGAGCAGAGCAGGAGATCAGTGCTCGCACACCAGTTTGCTACGTAACCCTGAGCAACACCATGTCAAGTGGTGTTGGGATTATAAACCAGAGTTTCTCCAGTAAATTGTCCAATGGAACTTCAGCACAGGGGCTGGATTATCACTAAAGTTGTACCTGGATCTGCAGGTTTCCTAACTCATGCAGAAGACGACACAGATGGAAGGTATCTTCTTAATCCTAGTTGGCATGTCATTCAATGTTTGTCCCACATCAAAAGTAACACAGCTTAAGCAAACCTTGCCTTGCCTGCCACCATGTCCTGCATTGTGCCAGCAGTGCTGCTTGTATAGCCACACCGCGAACCATATCAGAAAGCTGATTCAGCAGAAATGCAATTTTTCCTAGGCCATTTTCAGCTGGATCGATTCCTCCATACAAGCCACAGTTGAACCAGCACAGTACAGGGGAACACTGCCACAAAATGCAAAAAATCACAGTCTGACTCTGTGCATCTCAAACAGCCTGGACAACAATTCTATTACTCAAATAGGGTTGCAGCTCAAATGAAAATAAACTGGGAGAACCATTAAATGCATTAGGGAATCCTGCCTTCTCCTTCCTCCACATCCCCTCCCATTTCAGGCCAGCACAAGAATCTGCAGTGACACAAGATAAACCAATGAGAAAACTGACCCAGGTGTAAAAGCTAGTCTTCTGGTTCGCACTCCAGCTAAATCAGGACTCTGGTGCAGTTTGCCATGCAGCCACACCAACGCTTGTGCCAGCACAGCACAGGGGGGAGAACCTGCTTACACCATTAGTACACCCAAACATCTAGCCACTACCTAAGGGAAAGACAACTTTTTTTAGAGCAATGCCAGGTCTTAGTAAGCAACATATCCCCACTTAAAAAAAAAAAAAAAAAAAAAAAAAAATTTTTTTTTTCTCCCAGTTCACAAGACTACAGTAAAAGCTGTAATTGGGTGAGTTTGAATTTATTGGTTTCAATTAAAAGTCTGATGAGGACATAGAGGGATTTGGAAGATGCTTTGAGGATTTATAATCATCCATGCTGCGTTATTTAGAAGTCCTGTGAAAGGCATGGAATCCTTTTCTATAACCAACCGTAAGGCTGTTTTTAGACTTCCCAGACAGTTATACCACTCTATAACTGTCATTGTAGAATGATCAATCAGTTAGTTACACACATTAATATTTAGAAGCTAATTAAAATTTTAAAATGTTTGTTTTCCTGTCATTTCTGAACAGACTAGAAACTTTCCCATAAAGAAATGTGCCATACCATGATCTTTAAGTGAGTCATCCAGAAGCTGATGGGCAGTCTTAAGAGCAAGTATTTCTTATCCTCAACAAGGGTTTCAGGGTGAGTGCCCTCAAGGATTTGTATCTGTTGCCTAACCAGACAAAAGCTTTCTATCATGGCATTTTTCTACTTTTGGGCCAGCTGCTTCCGGGACAAGACTGGCTGTGATCCCACAGATGTTCTACAGCAGCAACACCAGCTTAAGCCATCCTCAAGTTCTCCACTGTCCAGCTGCTCATTTCTGTCCTTACATTGCCCCTTCTTCAACTGGGGAATCAATTTAGCTGAAAACCAGCCATCTTTTCTGGGTATTGAGCAAAATCAGTTCCCCAATCTAGTCCATTGCCAACTACACACACAGCTGTGTCACCATAATGCAGGGACAACAGCGAGCTCTCAGGAGCCAGGAGTGCTCAAATTACGTTGCTATAAAGCTCAAAACTCCTTTATCAACAATACAAGCATGGACCACAGCACTCAGGAGAAGATGCAGCTGCTCAAAAGAAACATTACACACTACTCCAAAATATATAAATAATCTTTCTCCCTTTCTGACTTCTGGAGGCATCTAACAAACTTCAATTTCAAATAGACAAACATGGCAGAATCTATTCTGTGCAAGTGATAAGATTAAGAACCATAGCCAGTAGGAATTTTTGGAAAAAGATGATCTTTATCAAACCTGCAAACTACAAAGACTAAATTGCTCTGCAACTTCTACATGGTAGCTTTTTAGGTGCATCCTCTTGCCATCCCAACACCATATCACAGTAAACACACAGTAAACCTGATTAGCTTACTCCTTGGTGAAAAAAGTATTCTACTTTGCATTTACCATATGAAAAAATTATTTATAGAAACTTCTTGTAAAGCTGCTCGTCCAGAATCACTGAAGGATAGCTCAAAGCCCAAAAGGTGAAAGGGAAACAAAACAGGCAGACACATGCAGTACTGAAACCTGTCTGACCCACAGTAAGCTAGTTCACAGCGCTAAGTGAAAAGAAAACTGGGAGCGGGAGAAGGGATTAGGATTAGTTTCCTGCCATTTTAGCTCCATTAATCATCCCATCATAAGGCCAGACAAGCACCAATGTTGGCACAAGGAAGCAACAAAGGCATGCATCCAAGACCGCCCTTTTTGGCAACAGCTAGCTTAGATCAACTTAGCTGTATCATAAGACCACATCCTCTGCTTAGACACTAAACTGGCATTGCCAACAAAAGGAACAGTCCAGCCTGCTCATTCCTCACCTCCTGTGGGCCAGCACAGGCTGAACCAGATCAAGGAACTGATCTGTGTCAAATTTGACCTGGCCACACACACACGAACTACTAGTTTTACTCTGCATCACTTCCTGATCTGGCTTGCCACCCAGCCACACAAACACTTGGGCTAGCATGAGGGAGAATGAGGCAGCTGGAAATAAAAAAGAAATCAGGATGGCTACTTTTGGTAGCAGTATCATCTTAAGGTGTTGTTATACAGTTTAATCTACCCAACATTCATGTTGGACATGAACACATGCACTAGGTCTTCATGCATAAGACTCTCAATTTTGGCAATATTCACATACTTATGGCATAATCAAGATCTTGACAGTCAGTATTTAAATGAACCAAAGAACAGTACCACCTTCCCTAACGTGAAACCTCAATAACCAGAGTAAAACATATGAAACAAAAGGAATTTAAAAATAAGTAAGTAAAAATCAGAGAGACATTAAAAAAAAAGAGCACAATTCCCAAATCCAGCAAGGACACCTCTATAAACAGCTTTCCCTTGTTTGCGTTTTGGGGCTGAGTTGCCAGGGTAATAGCAATTTCCTACCAATTTAAGAATTGCTAAGCAACCTCCAGCACCTAACAGCAACAGCATGTGTGTGCAGCTGGGCTATTTTGAGAAGACAGTTTTGTTTTTTTTTTATTTCAAACTTAAGAGCAGCCTTCTGTTAAATGATTATGCCAGCTGAGATCATCCAGCCAAAGAAGCAATCTCGGGGCAAAGTGGCTTTAAGTGGACAAACCTTTGAAATGAGTGAGAAGAGAGGAAGAGAATGTGATTGATATGCCCAAAGGCAACTATACCCCCCAGGTCATCACAAATCAAAAGAATAACCCAGGAGAAATGAAGTTTGCAGCAGACGGAAGCCAAAGCATCGCATTAGCTTGAGAAGCTATAACAATCAGAGTGAGAAATACTCCTTTTAGCTTTAGATATCAAAGAAAAGTCACCAACAGGAAGACCTCCAAGGTTGTATTAAAAAAAATTATTTAGTTTCCTGTCAGTCAGCTTAACCCAGGCACACACCTGTTGACAGAATTACTTCTCCAGTTAATGGAGAGTTAAACTGATGACACTGTCCATAAAGTACATACAATACAGTAAGCAGCAACGCAAGCATCACAAAGACAATGTAATAGCTTGTTCTTGAGGAACCACCTTAAGTTAAGAAATCAAACTATGCAGACCACTAAAGAGACACCTTCTTAGGTTATGGAATTTTATTTTAACACACATATTACACATATTCGTCTTCTGCAAAATGAACCAGTCATCAACTTCCTTCACTTTCACAGTAAGGGGGGGGGGGGAGGGCAAAAGCAGCAAAAAAGTAACCAACCCCCTTCCTCATTAAAAAGAGGGGGGGGGGGGGGGGGAGCAAAAGCAGTCAAAAAGTAACCAAATTCGTTCTGGATTAGAACCAGTGATTTGAAGGTGTAAACTGTCCATCTTACCATGATCACAAGCCTCACAAGCCACTACCCTACGAAGGCCCTATTAAAAATGCAAAGATTGCAACACATGTGAACAAAGATGCTGGCAAAACATGGATGAGCACAACTTTCTATCTAAGCTAAAGAATCTGAATCTGTATGTATACTGTGCCAGCAACATTACAGTAAGAGAGGACATCTTTGAATCACCACCAGAAGTCTCTCCACTACCGCCTCCAGCAAATCTGTCAGTACAAGAGTCAAAAAACATGCTTGGGCCAGCAAGAAAATGGCAAGAAATGTTATCAGACAAAAGGCATGAACAGCTGTATAGAGATGTTAGGACTTAAGGGGGAAAAGATGCAAAGAACACATCTAGTGCAAAGCAATCAACTGCATAATTTCTGCTATAGACAAACAAAGCCTCGCACGTGATTTTAACAACCACTCATCAAGAACCATATTTCTCAAGCTCTAAGTATTTCCTTCATAAGACACCAGCATTTGTTTTGCTCAGTCCAGCAGTGACAGAAAGTCTTTAAGAGGTCTTGAAAAATCATCATCAAACATCCATTTCTTAAAACCACAAATGGCAGGCTAAGAAATGTAGTCTGGCATTCCAGATGTTTTTTAAGAAATACTTTTCATGATTCAATATGTATTTGGAGGAACTTTGTGGCTTTCAAGCTCATGGAACGCTGGGTACACAGAAGAACTGATAATACCAGAGCTAGTTTTGAGAATCACAATGATATTTATAATAAATAATCCTTGCTCAAAAAGAATTAACTCCCCACCAATTTCTGAAGATCTTATTTAAGCTCAAAGCGTGAATGAGGAAGACGTCCTTCTAATTTCAGAGGACATTGAGCCTTAAACTGGTGAAGCAGTTTATAGACACAATTCTATCATACCTCTCAGTGTGTTGAATTAACCTTCTAGTTTGTGAGAGTAAAAATGATAGCTACTGAAGAAATAACAATTTCTACTGAAGTTCAAAGAACAAAAGAGAGCAAAAAAGATGTGATGTTCAGGTCTCGTGTCAATGGGTACTTGTATATTTTAGGCCTTGGTCATGATATAGCTCAATGTCATAATTAAAAGAGGAATCCAGCCTTCTGCTATCGAGCTATTGGTTCCTGCTGCTTCCTTTTTGTCTGATCTAATGAGTGTGCACCCACGGGGTGACTCAGGTCAGCTGAACCAGCAGACGACTAACTCTGCAAAAGATTAGAAACCATTTTCTACAGGGTCAGTCAGCTAGCTGGACGTGCCCTGTGGCTGCACAATCACTAGCTCTGATGCAAAGGAAGAAGCAGGATTGCACAGCTGCATAGAGGTTTGACCAGCCTTTGCAACAGCAGCTCACTGAAAGATCAACTTAACTGTAATGTCAAAGAGCACACTTAAACATCTAGCAGCTGTGCCAACTTAAGCAGTCTGCTACACATTCCCACTCTCATACCTTCCTCATTGTGAAACTAGCATAAATCTTAAGGAGACAACATGTACTGGACCAGAGGAAAAAATAATCTAGAAAAAACCACTTCTTTCCAGGAGGATCTGTTCCCCAGAGTGGCTCACCGTGGCCACAAAAACAGCTATGCCAGCAAAACAGAGGGAGCTGTGAAAGGGAGCAAGCTGTTTAAGCCTGCACTGGTGCCAAAGAAATGCATGATGAACTACAGTGTGTTTAGAACAGGATTGCCTGTTTTCCACCACCTTCTGACTGACTTCCTTGCAATTGCTCTCTGATGCATTTTTTAAAATTTCCTTCATGTCGGAGGCAAAGCATTCCTCCCCGCCCCATAGGGCCAAGCAGATGAAGCAATGGATTCAGCCGGCAGCAAAGGCATGTGGCAACGGACACCAACAACCAATGGAAGCAGGGAGGCTGCAGCAAACTAGAAAAGGGAATGCTGACTATTTGCAGCCAGATGTGAGCTTTGACTTGGAAATTCATGGCAGGAAAACTGAGGGGCTGAGAAAGTATGAAGGAACTCATGTTGAATGTGGATTTAGGGCAGATTGGGACAAGAAAGTCATTGGACAAGAGGAGAGTGGAAATAAGACCTCAAAGAAACAATATGCTTTCAAACACAGAAGATTTGAACTTTGGGACAAGAACTGGATGACCTAGGTCATAACAAAGTAGTGACTTGGGCAAGGAAAGAAAGGAAGGAAAGATAGCTCAGGGAACCAATCTAGACTAAAATAAAAGAAAATAAATTTTAAAAAGGAAAAAAAGGAAATAAAGCAAAGGTAAAATAGTTAGATTTCAGTCAGTTCAGCTCCTGGCATAAGCATTCATGTCAGCACAAAGCAGCAGGCAAAACTGCAGAACTTAAGAGTCTTACGGAGTTTATGGCAAGGTTTTTTGGCAACTTACTTTTGTGTGTCTGAGGAAGTAGTTTTACATTTTATCTAATTCAGTCTGATCATGGGCTGTGACTAAGAGTATAGGTCCATATTGTATCGCCTCACCTCAGTTTGAAATTCTCACCTTCTCTCCTTCAAATCCAGTGGCTTTGCAGCCACAAGAGCAAGTCAATTCAGCTTGCTGTTCTGATGGAAAGCTACACCTTGAAACAAGCTTGTTTTTCCATTGTGCTAGCAATCTGAGCCCTGCAACCACAGGTTCATTAGATCCCATCAAAAAAAACAAACAAAAAAACAGAGGAGCAGTGCCCACTGAAAAGTGACAGCTTTCAGTTACCTCATGTTAGGTACAGTGTGAAACCAAAGCCTGAAACAGTCTGCAAGAAGTTTTCTGACCCCAGTCACATTCTTTAGTCATGACAGTATGAAACCGTCTACAGAAATTAAACCAATCTGAATTGACTTTGCCTCTCCTCCCTGTCAATGGACAGTGGGTGTGGAATCCAAATTTCTTTGAATTTATTAGCATCTCCTAATGCAGCTACCCAGCATGACATTCATTTAAGTGGAAAGTCCAGCAATTGAGACTGAGTTACCAGATCTTCTGTTCCCTTTTTCCCCTATGAGAGCTGACTTTCCACCCTTGGATTTCCCCGCTACTGAAAAATAGGTAAGAATTTTCTTCAGTGATTCATAGAGAAGCATATATCAGTATTACTGTCTTGTCTAAGCTAACCAGTTTATTGAAAAGAAGTAGTAAGTACTCAAGAGGTGCTCCCTAACATGTAAATCTAATGAATATGGGTAAAGAACATGAGGGAGGGGTGGGGGAATTGGTACTGCCGCTGTTCTTCACCAATTCAAAGGATACCAAATTCAACCTTCACTACTTCTTTCTTTGAAGCAACAATATTAAGAGCCAGCACATGAAGGACATCTAAACCGAGACTTTTGTTCTGGTGCTAGAATAGATTAAAACATTTTTTTTTCTTTACTACAAGACTCAGCCTGAGACCACAGATAATGTCTGAATGTATCATCCTCTCTTCTGAGTGCTACTGTATCATGCTAAGCACAGTTACAGTTTTGCAGACATTACAATTTTACTGTATAGATACAATTGTTTGCCTTTATATACTTGAATAAATCAGCAAAGCAAGCCAAGTATCAGTAACACTGAAAAAACTTGTGACAAGCCTGACTAATTGCTAGGCAGCAGTGAAAAAGGGACAAGTGTGCCATTAATACTCTTAGACTATAAAATCCAAGCTGGACAGCTGTCACACCTGGTGCTAGTACAAATTCAAAATATTCCACCTCTAACACACCACTGTCCCTCATGTTTAGTGACCACAAGCAATTTTCAATTCAGCACATAAGAATAAAAGGTGCAGACCAAAGACAGCAAAGAGAACACAATACATACCTTACTCACAGTTCCCACAGACAAATCCAGCTCACTTCCATGCCAGCAGCTCTCTCCCCAGTCACTGAAAGGGAAAACAGGACACAAATATTCAGAGATCTTAAAAAAAAAAACAAAAAACCAAACACAGCCCATTTTCTCCTTTAAGAGTAAGGAGCGAAGTCCTTCATCTAGGATTCTTTTTTCCTATAATCTTTAATTCATTTGGCATACACAACAGAAGTTGAATTGAAATACCATAAAGACTGCCACACTTGTATACGCATACCCATGCTACTTGCAGAGCAGAACTTTTACTTTAAGACTATTGGTTTGTCAGTTCTGAAGAATGCATTGTTTGAGATTTACTAAGCCAGAATATTCACCAAATCATACACTCAATCTTCCCGTCCTTGTACCGAAATCATTCTTAAACATTGGATAGTAGAAGTTGGAGACTGTTATGACTAGTTTATTACACCATGTTATCCATCCAAACAAAAACAGGGAAAGGTAAAAAAAAAAGTACATTTCAGAGATTTGTCATGACTGCAATGGGAAACCCATTTTGGAGGAGGGGGAAAGAGGGAACCATCCTGCACACCTTAAAAACTCACAAATGTACTGAAGTAACACACCACTTTGGTCATACAGTTTTAACAGGCACGCACAGCAGTATTTGGCTAGAAAATAATTACTGTGGAGGCTCTGGAAGACTATTGTCTCAAACAGCAATAAAAAGGGTCGGAAGTTGATTTGTAGTTGCCATACTTTCACTCCTACTTCCTTAGCCACCTTAAAAAAAATACAAATCATCATACGAAGTTTTTAACACAAAGTTTCAATTCCATTTCCTCCTCTGAGCTTTTCAGACTTTAGGGCTTCCCAGACACCAGAAGCACAGAACTGCAGCTGAGATGCCATGATTTTCTGTCAATAAGAGAAAATAAAAGAAACCCAGGCACCTCCCCAAATAAAAACTTCAGACTGGATGGACCTCAGACACAAGCATGAACAAAGCTGGAGTGAAAAAGAAAAAAAAAAAAGAAAAAAGAAAATGAGCTCTCTGCTGCTTTAACATCAGAAGGAATAAGACCAACTAGGCTGATTAGTCTCTTCTGAAGAAAGAATGACCACAGCTAGAAGCTTGGATAATCAGCATATTGCAAAATTTGAGAGAGTTCCCTGATCTCCAACAAATAAAAGAAAGAAGCTGTTTAGAAGCAGCTACAGGTAATGAATTGCACATCTACTTGGTCAACTCTCCTCCAATTAACAATTTGCAAGAGAAGGGATTTACAGTACTGATACAACAAAAAAAAGTAAGGACACTACTACTTTAGAAGCTTCCCTTACAATCCCTTTCAGAGAATGTTTCAATTTTTCTTTGAATGAAATGTGTCAGCACACATTAATCATGGCTCTACCACAGAATCAAAAAGTCATTCTGCCACCTCTTACAGTATTTGTCATCAAGTCAATGTTTAGAATTACTTACTTCCACTGAAACAATTTAATGTGAGAACCCATAACAAGTAATTATTTTTTCTTTAAAGCAGCAGCGAAACTGATACAGCTGTAATTAAAATATGATAATGATGCAAGACTACAAAACCAAGTATATACTTACAAGGTACTTTTTACAGAATTGCGGATCCTAGATTTCCTAAAAGGCAAGGCAAAAAGGCCTCAAGAAGTCAAGGAAAGTCTTCCACAAAGACAGTAAACAATTAATCACTGTTAAGAGTTCGATATTCCAACCTGATTGGAACAAAGTGCCTTATTATATAATCTGGTAAAATAATTTTTCTGACAGCATTAAGCACATAACATCAAAATTTAGGTATGGAATGTTTGCTTGTGATGATGTTTTGTTTTTTTTTAAATCACAAATTATAAGTGAGTGAAATTTATCCATATATTAAATCTTTACTCCAGTGCAAGTTTTTGGCATTGTTTGGTTTTGAGTGGGATTTTTTTTTTATTTGGGGTTTGGGATGTTTTGGGGTTTTTTTTGAGACATAGGTACGCCTGAAACCGCTTTTCACACATGAAATGCATCTCTAACTTCTCCACGCTTTCATTTGAAGATTTCTGCTGGCCAATCCCTAATTTCCAGTAATCTTGGTTCACTGGATATTCTCTTCCAATCTGGGATTGCAACAGCACTGATAAAGTTGGACAATCATCATGCTGCTGCATTTCATTTCCAGCACTTAAGATCCATGTTCTCCTGAATCTCATTTGAGTCAAGACAGCTCCAACAGTGAGCCTTTTCTTGGTCTGCCTGTCCCACCACCTGGTACAGGGCATCTACTAGTCTTTTACAGAAGTGGAACCCCATATCCAGTCAAAAAATCTTTGTATTTTCTTCAGCATGTTTTTCTCTGGAAAACTTCAGATTGCTGAATATTCCAGGTCTGAAGAATATACCGGGCTATCCCTAATCAGCTGGCAGGGTGATGCAGAAGGGAGAAGAATTTCTCTGTACACCCCCAGTTCTACATGCCTTCCAAGGCACTCATTACCAGCAACTGGCCAACACAAGACACCAGGCTGGATAGACATCTCACCTGGCACAATATGGAAGACCTTGAAGTCTTACCTCTTAAGGTATGCATGAAGATTAAAAAAATATATATATATATAAAAAAAATACACACATACACTCAGTGATTTTTGGCATCTTTGCAAAAACTTAGCACTATCCTTCAGAAAAAAACGTGTGTGTTTGTGGACAAACACAAGACACCAGGCTGGATAGACATCTCACCTGGCACAATATGGAAGACCTTGAAGTCTTACCTCTTAAGGTATGCATGAAGATTAAAAAAATATATATATATATAAAAAAAATACACACATACACTCAGTGATTTTTGGCATCTTTGCAAAAACTTAGCACTATCCTTCAGAAAAAAACGTGTGTGTTTGTGGACATGCAAACACACACTCAGAAAACAGGACAACTTATTTCAAGAACTTCCTTGCCTCAGTTTGTTTACCTCTTCTGAGTTTCCAGCACTTCCATTTGCCTTCTCAGGTGTCCAGAGATCCTTGTTCTCCCACAAATAACTCATCCTGCAGGACAGCATATATTTATCTTTCTCCGTCTACTAAGAACTAAAGTTTTATTCCAGATACTCTGGCCAATAAAAGGCCAACTTTAAACTTTCAGTCCTATTTGTCAAGGAAGTTCCTGCTCAATCTTAGCAGATGGTTAAAGTATTGCATCCTGTGATTTACTGCTTAGTCATCTGAACCTCAAGTAGGAGATAAACTGGCTTGCAATGGGCACGGACAGTCATCAACTTTTTTTCTAATATGTGTGCCATTAAGCTAAGAGATGCTGCAGGTATAAGGTCTTTATCATTATTCTTATACAGTCACCCCACGGAATTTCAATCCAGCTTTAAGACGGAACAACAGAAAACACAGACACACCCCGCCTTCAAAATAACAAGTCAGACTTCACAAAAATTTAGCAGAACAGCCTTACAACTGTAATGAAAGACAAGCTCTTTACTTCTCCTTCTATACTGCAGCAAACAAGCAAAGATTAATCTGATAACTGAAACATTTTCTGGCAAAATTCCACAGTTAAACTGCTTTTGTTATTCTTTGCTTATAGCACAATCAAAACATTCCTCCAACCCTCCTTTTTCCTCTCACTATACAGTCAATGCAGGCAAAACTCCACTGTCCCAGATTTTCTGAAGAAAAAATAGTGTCATCTCTAAGAAATGCAGAAGTCTCATCTTGCTGATAAACTTCTCCATCCAATGGAAATGTTTATATGTCAGTGTTTACATGTTCAAGCCAAATGGCTGCTATTCCAGTGATTACAATGGCTTATTGCCTTCACTGGTGACTAGGAGTTTGAGCACGTCTGAACAACACAGAAACTCACTGACATGATTCGCAAGTCTGATCTGAACATGGCAACGCAGAATTCACATCCTATCTTTCTAACGGCCATACTACCTCTCAGATGGAAGCTCTGAAAAGATTCAGTCTCCAGGTGATCTGTTGCTGTAAAGCATGCCTGACAGGACACATGAAAGCGAATTTAGAGACATAGTTATATTAGGCCTAACATTAACTTGGCCCTACCAATTACTTGGAGAAACCTCTCACCCAGGTTTGGGTCCATCTTACACAATGGAATAGAAGTTACAATGCAGACTGTAATCGCATTCTGTTGGGAAACTTCTTATATTGCTATAAAAATCAGAAGAGAGGGCAAAAATAATAATTTAAAAATAAATAAATAAATCATCCAAGAAAAGTCTTTCAATGCTTTTCCAAAAGTTTCTTCCTGAAGGAGGAAAAGTTTCCCTGTAAGTGAATCCTGTCTCATCTTTGCTCAGAGCTGTACCTTCACACATATAAACAGTTGCAGAAAGAATGAGTTCATCATAACATGGGTATGGCTGTGTGTAAAGGATGATCTCATTAGAGTAAGTGTAAATAGGGTGTCAACTGTATGGATCAATCGTGCAGTGGAGACATATCCTCAGTGTCTCTACTAAACCACAGAAAGGGTAGAACTCAAGGAACAACAGTATACACACACCCCCTCCCTAGTGTGGCTAGAACTTGTCATAATTGCCATATATTACAGGAAGCATTAATTTGAGGTTGAAACAATCTGTGATGTAGACTCCTGTCCCAAAATAAAATTAATTTCACAAAACTACACGTTATCATTTCAGTCTCCTGTTCCCCTAACATGAAGGTACTCTGAAGATGATGCTTAGTCAGCGCATTTATTTGCCTCACTGGAAGATGGCAAAATAGGGAATTTTCTGCATTGCTTTATGCCAGAGGCTCCTGCACTGTGGTATATACACACTTCAATATGCACCCATGGCAAGCAGAGACAACAGCAGCAGCAGCTCCTGACCACGTCCAGGGGAAAATTTTTATTTCAGTGAATTAGGAACTTCCACAGAGGCAGCCCCCAATTGATCAGCTGTTAACAAATAACATCCTGGCACATGCAGCAGCAGCTACCACGCTGCTTCTGCTCTGCTCCGCAAAAAACCCTGCTTTTCTGGATCAGCAGGGCCAAAACAAGCTGAAAGAGGGAGCACAAGTTAATTAAGAAGGATAAGTAGAAGTAGTCAACATGCTAGTTTGTGGTAGGAGAGCAAAAGCAGATGGATGGCATGAGGTTAAGGTGCAAAAGAAAATCCCCAATTAAAAGCTCAGCCTTTAGCTTTCAAGATTTAAAGAGACTTGTGACTGTGTGTTAAATCTCACCTTCTTACAGAGATGTTATCAATATGGCTGTGTGCCTAAATCCAAAATATTTCTTCACACAAGAATAATGATGCTGCACACACACAAGAAAATGGGGGAGGGAAGGGGAAAGGAATGCTGCACAAACCAAATTCATTACTTCAATTTCTGAAATATAAACCAATCTAATTTAAACAATCACAGTACCTTGCTCAGTGACAAACTCTCAAATTTATCTGTGTGGAAAATAAGTGTCTCATATCAGAAATAGAAAAAGGATCAAAGAAAGTGAGCTACCGTTACTGGCATTGTTTCTTAACGTCTGAAAACATAGTAGCAGACTGATGGCAGACTCCTGTGTAAACTGCATGCACCATTTGCCCTCCACAAGGACAACCTGCATTTAAAAATCTCAAGGCATTGACTGACCACTATGGCATACCTAAGCCTGGTAATGTAAACTGTCCTCACCCCAATGCCATTCATTTCCCTTGAAGAAGCCACTTAACAGTGTTTGCACTCCATAAAGCACTCAAAGGAGGGAAGGTAAAATATACACATTAACCACCCACATTATGTCCCCGAAGGACTGAACAGAGTATTTGACAAAGGAATGAGTTTCTGAATTCACAGAAACTCATCCATTTCATCTATTTGACACAAACGCATAAAAAAAGAATCATAGGAACAGTTTTAAACTCTGGTTCCAAAAAGTTCCCTTTAGCTGTAGCTCTTACTAACCCACTTCTGTGCTCCCTCCCCTCTACTCTAGCTATTCATTCCTTCGGCCCTCCCCCACCTTTTATTTTGGGGGCTGAGGGGGAGAGGAATAGAACATGCACAGATTAAAAATCAGGTCTCTAACCTGGCTCAGCATGCAGCCCCCCAGACATACCATCACTACTGAGGTGACAGCACATGGTGGGTAGGGAAAAAAAGGAAAAAAAAAAAAAGAAAAAAAAAGAGGCAGATGGGAATATGAGCTGTTTAGGACAGCCCCACCACTAAAAGAAATGTCTGTGTAACCACATCCTCTGTTTTCAGTCTCAGTTCAGCAATGTGTCCAGCAGGAAATAATTAGATTTGGCTTTCCCAGAGTAGGTGTTTGACGGTTTCAGACCACTGAACAGTTGCTTTTTCTGCTTCCTCTTCAACAGTTTCTCAGGAAAAGACATCGACCTTCAGGACACAGCTGATTAAAAAAAAAAATCTTTAAAGGAAGAGCATTGTGTAACTACAGTAAGTTTTAATAATTGTTACCTCTTTTTACACAGAGGAAATCAACTGTACTCTTCAAAAGGGATCTTAATCATAATACTGAGTTATCAGTAAGTAAACAGACATTGAGACAGTCCGATTATATCATCTACAACACAGGAAGGACAGCTGAGTATAGACAGTAAAGACAGAAGACTCTTGGAATTGCTATAAATTATGCTTTCGAGGTAAAAAGCATATATGGAGACACCTCGCACATTCCAAATGAGTGTAACAATTAATCTTGTGATAATGTTTTGGCAGATCCTAAGAATCTGCTTTCTGCTCTAACATCCAAACCCTTTTTGCTCTGATCCTCCCCTGTATATAGTACAGCTGCCCTTTCCCCCCACCAAATACCACACAGTAATGTAATCACGGCTCAACAGTGAAGGAAATCCATTAGGGCTTTTTATTATTATTATTAAATTAAGGGGTATTTTGATTGCTTGAATGTACATTTCACCTGGAGGTTCAAGGATGAAGGGTCTGTGAAAAACGTTGCTGCTTTACCATGCCAGCAGAAGCCAAAGTTACAAAAAAACAGTCACAAGCAAGCACTCCTCCCCAAACCCAGGAGTTTCCTATTATTTCATATTCAAGGGGAGGAAAATTTAAAGACTGCTTTTGCAAAACCCCCATATTCTCTTAGCCCTATGTCAAAATGTCTTCTGTACTCTCTTTGCATTTTATTTCATGATCTGCTTGTTGCCTGAAGATTTGGGGGTCCTCTCCCACGATGTTAGAGTGGATGGCCTTAATTAAATAGAAATTAAAGCTGCTTCTGCAACTGTTGGAACCAGCAAACATAGCACTACTTACATTTTGTACAGAACAATATGATGCCCAAGAAGCTATAACTAGCAATATTTCACTCTTTTCCTGAAATCACATTTGGTATCTAAATTATAAGTGAGGAAGGACTGAAAAGGGCTCAGTAAGTTAATATCTGGTAATTAAGAAGGGCAAATTCGCCTACTTGTGAAAAGCTTATGGCATTTGCTTTCAGCCCTGAGTCTCTTTCTCCTTTCAGCAGAAAGCACGAATCTCAAGAACAGAAAAGGAGTTCACAGTCAGCTTCAGAACATACACTTATTTTAAAATCTATTATTAGATTCTATTTAATCACAACTATTAGATCACTTATTTAATCACTGCAGCAAACTGGAACAAATGGCTGTCCCTCTCATTTCATGTTCAGAAATGATTGACGTATTTTTGGCAATACTTATGAAGACCTAAAGGCATTACACTTCTAGCACTTCTACAGTATGGATTTTAACAGTGTCTTTACAAAAGCCTACTGATGGGTTTTGTGCAAGCAGCAAGATATACTTTGAAATCGGTGCTGAAAGTTTGTTTGTATATTTACCTGAAAGTAAAACCAACACACAATTAGAAAACACACTTTCAATAAGTCAGCTATGCCATGGCTAACTAGCCCTGATATCGAACACAAATTTAAAATAAAGACAGAATTGCATACTGAATTGTCTCAGTGCTCATGCTGGAAGTGTTGGGACAGACACATTCAGCCCAGAATAGCTACATTTTATATTTTCCAAATATTCAGAGCTGTGTCTTCAAATTCTACCAAGAAATAAAAAGCACTTTTTTGTTTCCACGATCCAGCAAAGAAGCTACAGACTTAAACAGAAACGTTTTTAATGCCTTCAAAATGTATTTTCTATTGATGGTAGACTAAGATGCAGTTTCACAGCAGAGACCCTGATATTGTCTGGACAAACACGATACAAGAAAGGAAGTGATATAAGCAGCAGCAAACCTGAAACCCCTTATTCAGCCCACTCAAGGTTCATCTTGTAAAACAGAACCGCACAGAACCATGTTAGCACACGGTTTACATGATGCAGTATAAGGGTACACAGATGCAGATCATAAAGGTCTCAGGAGGGTATTTCCACTTACACACAAGGCAAATGGTCGGAGTTTTCATCCTGGATCAGGAAATATGTGACATTACAGTCCTCTCTGATACAAGATTTTACAGTCACAGAGAGGGAGATCTAGTCCCCACTGGACAGACGTCTGGGACACACGTGTGTTACCTTAAATGTACGGTAACATCTAGCCATAGCATGGAGAGGCGTCTTTTCAGTAGGGAAAATTAACCCCGCTGAATACAATCCGGTGTGTGCACGGAGCGGTGGGGACGGCAGGTGGCTGCTGCTGCACAAACCCTTGTAAACTACTGTCACCACTACCAGGCCTGTAAAATCGGTAAGAGAGTACCGAAAAGAAACACCGCCGACCTACTAAACGCGAGGCGCTCGGGACAAGAGAGGGGAAACGGTGAGCCGAGCCCCTCTCAGGGGGAGAAGGCGGGGAGAGGCCGGAGGGGGGCAAAAGCGAGCCAGGGGCCGAAGGGGAACAGGCTCTGGAGGCACGGGGGGGGGGGGGGGGGGGGGGGCCGGTG